AAGTGAAATTTGAGGTGTTTACTGAGTTTAAATCAGAAATGTATTTATCTAGTTAGCTCCTGTTCTTTCCTCTTCTGTATTAGGCATAAGGAGACAATAAAGTATTAAGCAACTACAACTGTTATTCTAGAGAGAGGATTATCTCATATTGATTTTATGATACTATGTATCTTGGCTTTTCTGGAAAGTCTAAGAGAATAATATAAGAAATGCTAACCACAATTCTTTAGAAGTTAATATCCATATATGAAAAATTCCCAGTTATATTCTTCATATACTGGTCAAATCTCCAAGTACAGTATAATCTGTAGCATAGTATTTTGATGGGTAGTTAATTAAAAACCCTTCTCAACCTATTCCCCGCCCCATCATATTAATTCAACTGTGACCTTTTCACTAAGAGTATTATACTCTGGAGACATTTTATCCTATTTATTGCCAGTGATTATTAAACTTGAAATCCAGATTTATTGTTTTCCAAGGAAATATTCTGGTAGTACTGTTTATATAAATTGCAAAACCCATTACACAATTAAAATGTGATATATCTGATTCAAATGTTAAGAGTTTCAAGATGGTGATGACAGAGCAATAAACCAAGTGATAGAAATCATAGATAGCACAATAGGTTTAGAAAAAGAAATGATCACACTGAAAAAAACGTAAGATATTCTCTACTTGCAAATGAAATGATTGCCTATATAGAACATTTGAAGGAATTCACACAGACACACAAACACAAATTAGTAAATAAACTTGATAAGGGCACAGAATGCATAATTAACACGAAGATAATTGTAAATACTTGCAATGGACAACTGGAAATCAAAATAAAAACCAGTGTCATTTACAATGAAATGTAAATGAAATACTTAGGCATCTAAAGTATTAGATACCTAATGAAATACTAAATGAAATACTTAAATGAAATACCTAAATGAAATACCTAAATGAAATACTTAGGTATCTACGTACCAAATCTGTATGCCATAAACTACAAAACCCTCATAAAAGAAATCAAATGCATCCTAAATGGAGACACGTATGTGTTGATGGATTGGAAGTTTCAACATAGTAGAGATGTCAATTCTCCCTAATCTGATCTACAGATTTAATGCAATTCCAATAAAAAAATATCAGCAGTATTTTTTTCTGTAGATTTAGATAAACTGACACTGAAATTTATATAGAAGACAAAGAAACTAGAATAGCTGAAACTATACTGAAAAAAGAATAAAACTAAAGGAATCATACTGGCTGATTTTAAGACTTACTTTAAAGCTGCAGAAACATGACTGCTGTAAGTAAAGGAATAAACATATAGATCAATGGAACAGAATACAGAGTCCAGAAACAAACCCATATATATACATATATATGTTCAATGTTATACATATGGTCAATTTTTTTTGAAAGAGATGCAATGAAAATTCAACAGAGAGAAAAATCTTTTCAATAAATAGCTTTGGAATAATTAAACATCATGTGCAAAAATTCCCAAACAACCCTAAAACTTCACATCTTATACAAAGATTCACTCAAAATAGATTACAGATCTAAATATTAAATATAAAACTATCAAAATAATTAAGACAATCTTCATCATAAAGGCTTAGGCTTAAGAGTTAGGACTACGTTAAGAGTCCTTAGACACTGATAGCAAAAATCCATTTTTTTAAATTGATAAATTTTTCATCAAAATTTTTGCCCTGCAAAAAAATAGCAATCTGTAGATATGACATAACATTTTTGCAAAAGAGACAAAAAACCATAAATATTTGTACATTTGTTTTCAGAAGTACAGTGAGTACATGTCATTTATGGGACCATAGTCCAGAAAACAGTTTTCAGATAGAATCTGCTTTTTTCATCCTGGCAAGTTTTAACTTGCATTAAGTTTACCTGCAAACTACACTGTCTTTGAATTAGTGGAATAAAAATCTAAATGTAACTAATACATTAAGTAACTACAAATAAGGCATACATTCTAACAATAAAATGTTTGACCCAAGAGCAGTGTGAATTTGCTGCACAGTTTATGAAATTTAAGCTTCCAGAACCTGAAGGTAACTGAGCAGACCCATTGCAGTAGATCTTAGCAATGTGCTCACTATTGGGTAGATCTACAAATGTCAGTATTTTAACTCTAACAGGCAAAAACACTCTCTTTCCACTTTAACGTTTTCTCCATCACACTTTTTCTTCCTGAGTGGTGACAAGGGGCTATGGATTTTAGGAATTTGACTAAGGGGAAGTAGAGTTGCAAATAAGTTTCATTTGTGTTTAGTAGGATATGTTTTTGTGATTTGCATGAATTCTAATGTAGTTCATTATCGCTAGCCACAGCTATAATGGCATAGGAATGGCTTTAGGAATAATCCTAGACCTCACTTTAGGGGTAATCCTAGACCTCAATTTGCTTGTTCAGCAAATGAAGATCCATGCTTGTGGTATTTCACCTTTGTGTCCAAAGTGCTCTGGTCCTGAGAGGATTGGGTGATGTAGGAACAATGAGGTTTGAAATAGGTGGTCACAAGGTGATCTGTGGAAATTCTTCCAAATTTTATGTCTTATATATGAAATAAACCATGAAAGTTTTCCCAAAATTGACAATTCCTAAAGATTTTGAAAACATGAGCTGTAATACCATGAAAAAAATGTTCTGATCCACCAATAATAAAACATTTCTAATCAAATACATTAGCAGAAACATAGAATTACTTTTCTATTCTCCCAGAAAGCATGAAAGAATGTTTTATAGAGTTTTGCCAGACAGTTAATTAAACTATTGCTATTTTTCTAGATTTTGTGGTACTTGTGGTATTTGTCAGCTTTTAAACTTTGCAATTTTGTAACTTCTTTTTCTTACTCAAAATAATCACTTTCAGACCTAACTCTCTAATTTTGTGTTTTTTCTATAACAGGTCTTACAAAACCTGCATCAACTCTACATAGAATCTTTTAAATATTTAGGAATATGATAAAGCTTTTCCTTTTGGTTAAGGATTCTTAGTAACAGTCAAATAGAATCATGATTTACTTAGTCTAGAATCTGACCTCTGCAATAGAATTGATAGTTCTGGGTGTCAGAACTGAAAACAGTGAGACACATAGATTTATCATCAGTCACCCTGCAGAAAGGGAACCTGGGTGGAATTTGGCACAAAGTATGAATTTCTGTTCCAGAAAAGAAATCTGCTGAAATGACCTGGTAGAGCTTTTATTTAATTTAAAAGAGGAAACTTTTCAGAGAAGCGTGAAATACCACATTTGGAATATCTAATTTCAAGTCACCTAGTTTTGGTTTCTGCACTACAAAAAAAAAAAAAAAAAAAAAGTTAAGGTTGACACAGTGGGTTATAATGGCAATATCTCCTATCTCACTTCCTATCCACTATCAGTGACCAAGTACTGTACTGAATTGAAGGATGTTATAGACTATTCTATGGACAACAAGGCCAGCAACCTCTGAAATTATCTTATAACAGTTTATCCTCTCAAAGGACAGATAGAATTAATGGACCAGGATCATCATTCTTAAGCAAGCCCCACCCTGAAGAGGAATTTACATAGAAATACACAGAGGTAGAGATATAGAGATAGAGTTGACCTATTTGTTAATAATCCTGTGCCCTTGCTCTCTTTGGTATGGATGACCCCATTAACTTGTGTTAATGTTAACTTGTGCTTTTATATCCCAAGTAAGGAAAAAGAAAATTGTAATTGTATTTCACCACGCACCCATAATTTAGCTCCAGGGGCAATAATATAAAATCATTACTGCCACTATGCTATTTGCTGAATTTGCAACCCAGTGGTTCCCATAGGGAGGAATCACAGGCTGCAGAAAGATTTTGCATTCTCCCGACCTCCCAGTCCTAAGATGGGGGTTCACATGATGGAGGACTCCTTCTGTCAAGCTGGAGTCAAGGTTAGTAATAAGTGAATACTACTTAGCATCACATTTGATAGGGAGGAAAAGGTATGTGGAAATCTTTAAACAGTCTCTACTGTTTGATATCATGGGAATTCTGTTTCAATGTGATCAAAAGGATGAGAGTCCAGACAAGTATATCATGCCTAATATCTGCGGTTCTGACCACAGTGGGTCACTGCCTGAATGATCAAGTAATTGTATCTTATTTAATCTGGTTCCCCAGGTTCATGATAATACAGTCTATAGTAGAAAATTATAATAGAATTGTAGCAATAAAAATAGAGGGGTTAATGGAAAGTTTGGCTTCAGCTAATTTAAACAAAGGCATTTCCCAAAGAACCTGAAGTATTTCTAATGCTGTGAAGTTTGTGAGATTTTTTATTTTATTTTTTTTTACATTTTTTTCTTTGTAATTTTTGAATAGAATGAACTTGAAGAATCAGGTAATAGATCATGACCCTACATATACATATATAGGACATGGGAACTGGTTTAGCAAAGTAAATAGCCCCAATGACATAGGGCAATATTCTTGATTATGATTTGAGGCTCCCCTGAATGTGTGCATTTGGAAGGAAAATACATTTCTGGGGAAGAAAGACCCATCCTCTTCCAGTTCTACACATACTCATGATCAAGTAGTCAAAGAGAAGAAAAGTCAAAGATTTTTGACTTTTCTTGATATCTATCCATTTGAATGGGTCCCTAAAGTAACAGGCTGTAATGCTTTTCCTGGGAGAAATTTTTATCTTATTTATCCTATCCTGTATCCTCCCCACCCAAATCTCAATAATGTATCATGGCCAGAGCTCACGCTCTTGTAATGAGATTGTGAACTGTACTAGCTTTGCTTTGCCATCAGCAAATTTCATGACTTCTTTCTAATGACGTCAGGTTCTGCTTTTCTCTGTGCTGCCAGTCTGGGATTCCTCCCGCCACCCCCCCACCCGAATCTGGTTGTTGGATCTCTCTCACTTTTATGAGAATCATCACATGGGACCTGGTGCTGGCCTCGGGGCTATGGTAAGAGACACCCACTCCCTCTGCTCTCATATTACTCCACCTTTTTCCATGTCTGTTTTGATCTGCTCCTCAAGATCCTCTGCAGACACATAGAAGTCCTCTTCTGGTATTGATGCTTTTGGCCGGCAACGTCCACAGCAGCAGTTACAACAGCAGCACAGACAGCAGCAAAAATAGCAGCCAGTCAAGAGGCCAATGATGACAAACAGAGTCTAGGGAAACAGAGGCAAAGCAAAACAGGGGTGAGGAGTGGTGAGTGAAGGGGAGCCCTAGAAATCAAGCACACACCCATGTGCTCCTGGAGACCTGAAGACGTCATAATTCAACCCACAGAATGTCCTTATATCTTTTTTAATTTCCTTGGAAACAAATTCCTCATGAAGTTTGCCTAACATGTTAAATCCCGAACAAATGACTTGTAGCCAAAGTAATCAAGTAGGATACTTTACTCGTAAGCTGTAGTGATCATTATTGAGAGAGGAGCAAACCAAACAACAAACAAGTGAACAAGCAAAACTTCTACAGGTCAAATGAGCAGCTAATAGGGGAGATTGAATCATTCTCCCCAAAGAAGAGCTATTGACAGCTCCCCCTCTTAACCCAACATTCCTCTTAGTTACCAAGTCCCACAGAAAATTTTCTCTTCAAGATCTCTTTCATCTTCCTCCCTTGTCTCTGTCCTCCCTAGTAAGGCTTTGGGATAGATCCTATTATCTCTTCCCTAGACACTTCAGCAGCTTCTCAACTGGTCTCCCTGCTCTACTCTTTATTTTATTTATTAATTTTTTAAAAAGATTTATTTATTTATTTATACAAGCACTGGGTACAGTCAGAAGCGCGGGAGGGTGAGAGAATTCACCAGAGCAAGAGTGGGGAACAGAACAGCCAGAGTGACAAAATACACTGCTGAGGGGAGCAGCGGGCGCAGCAGGAGAGGTCTGTCACGCCATGTGGGACCCTCGCTGGCAGCCAGGGATCTAATCAGCACTGCAGAGGCTGCAGGCAGCTTCGGTAGCCTAGCGCTCAAGCACTGAGCCACCAGGAGAGGCCCTTTATTTTATTTTTTAAAGATTTATTTACTTATGCATACAAGAGCTGGGTACAGGCCAGAGATGTGGGGGTGGGGATGGGTGGGTGAGAGGATTCACCAGAGACAGAATGAGGAATGGAACAGGTGGATTTACTGAAATACACTGCTGAGGGGAGCAGTGGGCGAGACAGGAGAGTCTGCTGTGCCATGTAGGTTAGCTCCCTGGCCCGGGATCAAATTCAGGCCAACACGGTGATAAACTTAGCTGAGACTTAACCCCTATGCCACCAGGGAGGCCCTTGTAGCCTTATTATTAGAAAGCTACATCAGGAATTACTTAATATATCCTTACACTACTGGATAGCTTCTGCATATGTACTTAAATTAACAATTTTGTCAATGTCCTGGTTAAGGAAACCTATTCTCAGTGATATGGAGGCAGTCCCCAATATGTACTCAGGTGTCAGTGAGTAAGTTATTGAGAACTCCAGATATACCTTCCCATGGAAAGTGTATCCTGCCTGGAGGTTAGGTTCCCAGCCAAAGTCCATGAAAGCCCACATTGTTAAATAAGTTTCCATCTACTATTATAAGTGACATTGTCAGTATCTACATTCTCATTCCAGTTTCAACTCTGCTTTGCAGGAATTTGTTTTCCTCTCTAGTCTTCAATAATAGAGAAAGAGGATTTCAGATGATTTCCAAGAAAAAGAATTCTGGGGATTGCAGAAGACAAATGAGGCTTTAGAGTGCGGATTATCTCTTCAGGCTTATATACAAAAACATTCTCTTTCTTCCTGTATGTACAAAACTCTTCAATTACCAAGATTTAGTGGAAGAAAACAGAAATAAGAACACTACTGATCATGAAACCTACCTTTCTGGAGACTTGCAGTTTTTAAAAATTATTAATTACAACTCATGAAGCTGAGTTAATATAATTTCACAAAATGTATGAACAGTGAACTGTTTACATGTGTGAACAGTCTGAAAACTATGTCGGTGGACTCTGTGTGGTTCATATGCAAATACACTTCTATCACAAGGATATTAAACTCATAAACAAATATAAAACCATTACCAAACATACACACATACTAGAACTTACTATGAAAACAACACAAATTTACTGTCAAAAGTCAATCTTGCTTGCACTAAGTCCTTAAATATATTGTATTTTTCTTGATCAGATACATTTTCTCTCTCTTATTTCCTCCCTTTCTGTCACTCCAACTCCCTATTCCCCATTCCTTAATTCTCACCTTTCCCCCTTCATTTCCCTCTCCACTACCTCACAGCAGGCTTCATGTGAGCCTCTGACATAATTACCACACAGTCTCTTAAGTATTGTGGTTGCTGATGTAACCTGTGCTATAGATAGTAAAGTACATGGCTAAATCTGTCCTATAATAATTTATTAAACAGTTGTCACACTAATAAATTATTTTTGGTTTTGAGCAATGAGTCAGTTCTTAATTAGTCATTATCAGGAGAGGGAGGGCAGGCAGAATTAACCTGAAGCTTCAATTTCAAATATAATTAATGTCTAGAAGTATTTTAAGTCATGCTGTATTTTATAATCATCTGATGAGCTAAAGCAGAAATGATCTTCAAATAATAGCTTTCAATTGAATCACTATGTCCTTTTATTTACAAAAGTTTAATAATATGGGAAGGTTATACTTTCTTTGAGATGGAGCCTAATAGACTGAATAATACATTGGTCTTTCAGGAAATCTTTTTTTAATGAAGTACCATTATTTTACATCCTTGTTAATATTTTGACAGTGTAGGATTTCTATTCTCAGGCGGGGTCTTGTAACTTTCCCACCACCAAAGCACTATAGTCTGCTTTGAAAGAAAAAAATCTGACTCACCTTTGCCCACCAGCTTGATAGCATGAAGTAGGTATTAACATTTTCGTCTCCAAATTGCTCAGCCACATAGAGTCCCAGTGATCCGTATTTGTCATATATGTTTCTCTTTGACCGGTCGGTAAGTATTGTGTGAGCATTGTTGATTTCTTTAAACTTCTCAGCAGCAGATGGATCATCTGGATTCTTGTCAGGATGGTATTTCAGGGCCAATTTTCTTTCAAAATAAAAAAATGAACAAAAGTTACTTGACCAGAATAACAATGACATTTTAGAAAGTGATATTCATTTGTGCACACTTTATACAAGCAAGTGCTATGAGTTTTACACTAATGATTACGTGAGTTTTCACTAAATATTGTCTCTTGCATCTAATATACAGGCACAATAGTATTATTCCTCCCCTCACGTGCTCAAAGGAATTCTCAGTAACTGCAGAGCTGTTGAGTTGGAGACATTTTGTTATTGGCAAATAGGTGAAGTTTGTTTTTACCTGCAAGCTGATTAGTAACTCACCCCAACATGTGGAGGCCTCTAAGAGTTCCAGCAATGGGACAACTTATACCAAAATCCCAATTAGAAGGGGAAGAATTTTCCAGAATCAGGAAACTTCACACTACAAATTTCTTAAACTCAACTATCAAAAAAAAAAAAAAAAAAGAAATTCTTATTTCTATGCCCCTTGAAAAACTATTATGACCGCCTTATAATCCATGAATCCCAGCTTCCTTTTATTTTTCTGCATACCGTGACTCTTACCTTGTATTCAAATATATATATTTGACCTCATTTCACATAGTTTTTTTCATTTTATGTAATCTGTAGAGATTTTCATGTAAGTCCAAAGTCCCCTCCCCTCTGTGGATATGTGTTGTGTTGTGGTGTGGGGTAGGGTAGGGTAGTGTTGTGCGCGTGTTTTGAGGGGGATGGCTTTAGAGGTATTCTTTATTCTTCGGTTATAGTCAAGCATAAATGGAAAAAAATGGATACAAAAGCTGAGCTATGATAATCAGGCTCTGGACCAGTGGTCATTTCCCTATACAGGTGATATAACTAGTGATTAGTCATTTGGGCTTGTGATGGAACTTGAGGTCTTATGCTAAGTGAATTAAGTCAGAAGGAGAAAGACAAATACCGAATGATTTCAGTCATATGTGGAATGTAAAGAAACAAAGCAAGCAAACAGACAAAATGAAAACAAATCCTTGAATCCTGAGAGCAGAATTGAAGTTGAGAGGTGGTAAGAGCAAAGGGTAGATGAACTCCAGTGGCCTGTGTGGAGGGTTATTAATGCTTGGTGGTGGGCTGGGTGTGATAACCTGCATGAGAAGAAGTGTGACTTTGCACTCCTCAAACATATATAGTGTTGTAAACTAATGTTATCCCCCCAAAATAAATAAATAAAATAAAACTATCATTTTTCCCCTAAAATTACATTTGTGGTATGTTTTCCTCTACAAAGTCAATTTTATGATTCTTTATTGGAAGGTCTACAAAACTTATTTTCTCTACTGTGACCATCAGAGTTTCACCTTAAGCTTGTTTATAGAATTATTTCATTTTAATAAATGAAAGTAATAAAAGACCAAAATAGAGCATAAATACAAAGTATACCTTGTAAATCAATCTTCATGATAAATTGGAAAATATCACCCCTATTTCAGGAATTAAAGTATTGTTGATGAGAAAGCAGTGAATAATTAAGTCCCACAGCATCACGATGCTTAAAAACACCAAAATATTTGAAATCGTGTGTCATGGTGTATAATCCACTCTAATTTTATACTCAGAATAAAAATAGTAAAAAAAATTAAGTTTCATTTTAAATTTGACTGAAAAAATTTTCACCCTTATTTTGAGAGTTGTTGGGATATCTATAAATTCTTAGAGTTGGGACCTTTGGAGACATGCTTTTCTTGTTTGTGTGCAGAATTTATGGTGAAATCTTGTGCTAATAACACACAAAATCTTTTTGTCATTAAAAAACTTTCATGACAGTATGGGATAACTATTATATAGGATCTGACTGTAGTTTTTGAAGTATCAATCAGTCTTGGAGAAAACAAAGGCAAAAGCAGGAAGACTCTTAGGAATAAGAACTGATAGTTTGGACCAGTATGGAAGTGGGGCATACTGTGAGAAGTGGTTAGATTCTGGATATATTTGAGGGTTAGGTGATGGATTTGATGTACAGTATAAGAGAAAAAGAAGGACCAGAGATAGCACCAACGTTTTGTTAAGTATCTAGAAGTTTGGCGTTACTATCTAATGAGCTAGCAAGCAACTTTGTTTTTAGGGAAAGGTTGACTAGGACTCACAGTTCTATTTTGGACAACTTTGAAATGCCTATTAAGCTGCTAAATGGATGGAGGTAGAATGATATAGGAGCCTGGAGTTCAGGTGAGAATTATTATTTTTTTTTTAAATAATATTTGCTTCCCCCCACCCCCTTAGGTGTAGTCCCCATAGAATTTCCTTCACCAATGCACCTGTGCACCATCACTACAGTCCCCTGTGCTCCTCTCCCACTCCCTCTGATCCCTCTCCCTCCTCCTCCTCAGGTGAGAATTATTGTAGAAGACATGCATTGAGGAATTCTAAGCAGACAGATGTATTTAGAGCCATAGAAGTGGGAAAGATTCCCAAGTGTAGATCCAAAAAAATCTCTTAAGCCTGGGATTTGGGAAAGAAGAACCAACAAAGGAGATAAAGACCAAGGAAAAGTCTTAGAATCCATGCAAACAAGGTATTTCAAGTGAGAGAGTGATCACCTGTATCAAATGCCACTGTCAGATCATGTAGAAAAGGACTAAGAACTGATCACTGGGTTTAGTATATAGAAATCTCTCATGACCTTGATACACATGTGCACAAACACCTACACACATTCACACACACACACACACACACACACACACAATTGTATATTTGTCTTTATGTAGGGAAAAATAAAACAGAAAATAAGTAGAAAATAAATAAGGAAATGGAAGGCTATAGCTACAATTAACAGTGCTTACAAGTGGCATATTGGGGTTATAGGTGATTCTTTGTTTCATTTTTGCTTATTAAAGAAAATACACATATTATTTGTGTGGTTTCTTTCATCATTTTCAAGTTCAGTTACAAATTTTGTTCTCTTTTTAATAGCTGAAAATTTAGAGTTTGTTCCCTTAAATGACCCACTAGAACCAGATTAAAAAAAGTGGAAGGCAGGGAAGAAAGGAAGTCCTCAAACTTCAATGACACCATCATCATAAAGACTCAAGTAGATTCTTTAAGCATATTAATTTTAATGATACAATGTTCCTGGAATTCTCACTCTGTGCACTGGAATATGAATTGCAGCATTTTCCCTTGGTGCTTCCACAAGTCATGTCCAGGCCTATGAAATGTAAGTGCTATTACTTCTGCCTTCTGCCTTGATACCTGAAAAATGCCTTTTTTACAAACATTTCCTTGTTTCTAGGTTTCAGCTGTAGACTGATAACACTGCCCAAGACTTAGCCAGAGAAAAACCTGGCTTCCTGACATATTTTAAGTTGCTTGTATTTTTGTCAGCTCACAGGGTAGATGGCACTCAATCATTTATCACTCCACTCTAACAATGGAGTTGGCAAATTCTGAGGGTTGGCACACCTTCATCTGTAACAAATTCAATTCCAGGTCATCAGCAACATTTTGAATCCTCTTGGCAGAGGCTCTTGGCTCTGAGAAATCCTGGGGAAATATGGCTAGCAGAGGCAGCTGCCAAAATTACACAATTGCTAAGGAGGTGCCCTTGGGAATTGTCTATAGAGCCAGAAACCAGAATTAAGGAATTGGAGTACATTTAAGGAGAATATTCACATATGCATTTTTAAGCTTTTTCTTAAAACTTCTAATTTTATACTTAAAAGTGGTAATATTCTAACATGATGTGAACCTCTATATACTTAGTCATCTGTTAATCTCTATGGTTATAACTAATATTAGAGATAGCATCCTATCACCAATTTCCACTTCAAAATCCAATGACAGCTGTCAACTGAAATGCATAATGAATCAGTGATAGGCAAATTCGATAAATATGGGGTTCACAGTTGCAATTATCTAGTTGCGATTATCTAGTTGCAATTAGCTCTTAAAAGCTACCTATTTTCAGGGAAAATTGTAATAATATTCTGCCCAGTTCTCCTCCTCACCTCTCTAACACTCAAGTGGGATCTACCTACTACTTTGTACCCATCTGAGTCACCTCAGACCTGGTTCTGATCATACTGCCCCAGTTCTATATCAAAAGTGTCTCTGTGGGGTTGGAAGTCAGAGCCCTTATTTGGGAGAGCTGGCTTCTGAGACTCAGGAAACCAAATTCACCCTGGCATGGCTGTCTATACCTGCCTTTCCCCACTCCACACATTTGCAGCTGCTTTCTCCAATTACTTTCTGTTGCTTCTTGCAAGTATTTCTACATTGTTGTGTGACTTTCTGTTAATCCACATCAGTCAGAAAGTTTAGCAACCCTGCAATATCCCAGGAAAAAAGTCACCTATTGCCAAAGATGAAAAAGTGGAAGAAGGAAGGGGAGGTATTGATTTCTTCCTATATTCTAGAAACTATTAAACTACCCTCATGGCAAAGCCAGAATCTACTGCAAAGGTAACAAATGAAAGTAAAATTTGTTCTGAAAATGTGCACTGATAAAAGCAAAGAAAATCTGATTATCAGTTTAGTTATAAGCCAATAGATAAAATTGGCTATGCTGAGAGGGAAAACTGCCATAAACCAGGGCCTCTCTGGTGGCGCAGGGGTTAAAGATACAGTGCTATCAAGCTATTGCCAGCCACTGCAGCACAAGTTTGATGCAGTACAAGTTTGAAGCAGCACAAGTTCCATCCTGGCCAGGGAGCTAACCCACATGGCTCAGCAGACCTCTCCTGTCTCTCTCTTGTCTTGCCCACTATTCCCTTCAGCACCCCCGCACCTCTGGCCTATACCCCAGTTCTTGTATGCATAAATAAATAAATCTTAAAAAAAAACTGCCATAAACCAGAGTTTGCAAGTGAAAACTAAGCCTAGACTAGAAATCCCTAGGTGTGTAACAAGTTTTAAGACTATGGAACTTGAGAGTATGTCACAATATTGGAATTTCATTCGAACTCCTATGCCCTCCTGGGCTCAGACAACAGTCAAGTGAAAATATAAGAAACCAAAATATGAATTCCAATACACAGCTCCCTG